CTTCCCTTCCACCCTCCCTCCCTGCTCCTCCACCTCTCAGACTCACTGCCTCCCCCCTACCCTTCATATTTTTGAAAGGGAAAAAGTCAAACATTCACAAAAGCAGAGGAGAGAATGTAAGGAGCCCCACAGACCCACAAGGAGCCCCCACAATCAGAGCCTCTCAGTTTATTCTGGGCCTAGAGTATTTTGGACCAAATGCCTGCGTTTCCTCATGCATCAGGGAGCACGTGGCAGAGGGGCTAAGTGTGAGCTGCTTCAGCTCAGCCAGTCCAAATCCAGACTCTGCCACTCAGCCCTGCAATTTGGGGCCAGAGCACTGTGTCTTGGGCCTCGTCCTCTTGGCCTGGGGGCTGGAGCAGGGGACCCTGCACAGCTGAGGCCTGACATCCCCCAACCCCAGTCACTCCCATTGGTGACACACACCCTGGATAAGCACGTTGAAGTCCTGGTCATCCTCGCCAGCCACATTGGTGGCCATGCACAGGTACCGGCCTGAGTCTGAGACCTGCGTGGGCTGGATCTGGAGTAGCCGCCCTTCGCCCAGGACCTGGAGCCTCTGGCTGGGGGTGACAGGCTGGGGGCAGGGGGCCAGGAGATCAGATAAGAGGGGCCAAAGGGCACCAAGACAAGCGTACTTACAGTTTAATACCATTTAAAAAAATACAACATAAAGTGACAGGGACGCTGACAGCTTTGCAAAACCAAATCCACTCAACACGAAGATGGAAGAGAAATCCGTGGTGAGAACAGCCAAGTTTAATGTTCGCGAGATGTGTTCCCCATAGAGAGCTGCATTTCTTATTAAATCATAAAGGGTGAGCAGGGCCCAGACCAGCTCTGAGGTAGGTGCATTAAAGGCTGCTTTTTCTGGAAGGTTCCAAGCAGATCCTGTAGGACCCAGGGCTCCCACACTCACCTGCCCGTCTTTGTACCAGTGGATGGTGGGTGGGGGCACAGCCCAGCACTCACACTCCAGGGTCAAGGTGCTGTTGACCTTGGTCTTCACTTCCTTCACGCCGACCTCCCCTGAGGGGTCATCTTTGGAGATGGAAGGGGGGACTGCGAACCACAAAGGAGGGGTGCTGAGACACTGGGCTCATCCTGGCCCTGGGGACAGCCCCGGAAATGGGGAGCTGGCTCCCAAGAGTGGAGGAACAGGCCTCAAAAGCCAACCGCATCCTGGGCTATTTGCTCAGGGGAGAGAGCATCTGTCTGTGATAGTTGCAGGACAGGGCATGTTTGGGACGGGGGACTTCTTGGCGTGACCTCACAGTCCACCCTGGGGGTCCTAGGTCTCCAGTTGTGGAGCCTCTGCTGGTAACCACACAGCAGGAGGCCAGGACTGCTGTGGGTCTGGGAGTCCCATGGCCCAAGTCCTAACCCACTGTCCCCTCCTTGTAGTGTCCGCAGCTGTAAGATGGGGAAACGCTCCTGCCTGTGCTGGCTGCTTGGTGGCTGTCACAGGAGATGAGCCATGTGGCAGTGCCCTGGGGGGTAAGGTGTGGCCCATGTGGCTGACTGGTGCCAGGGGTCCCTGACTCACTGAGGACTTCCACATGGTAGTTTTTCATAGCCTCGCCCAGCTCATTGGTGACCACACAGGTGTACTGGCCAGCGTCTTCCTTCTGGGCATTCAGGATCTGCAGCCCACGGGTGCCTGTGTGGGGAACAGTGGCCAGGATCGCCCCACAGCTGCAGCCTCATGCCAGGCAGGAGCTTGGGCTCGCGTGTGCCCTCCTCTGACCCTGATGGTCTGTCACCCATCCCCTCCTTCCCCCCAGGGCATCACCTGGGAGAAGCTGGATGTTCTTGGAGGCCTCAAAAGGGGCCCCGTCCTTCATCCAGGTGATGTTGGGGTAAGGGAAGGCCAGCGCTTCGCAGATCAGAGAAATGGGGTTGCTGATGAACACGGTCACCTCCTCGTCTGCACTGTCCTCAGTTACTCCCAGGATGGCAGGGGCCACTATGTCAGAGGCAGGGGAGGGTGCTCATAAACATGACCTCTGACCCTGAGCCCACGGACTGGGACAGTCTTCAGTCTGCTGCTCTTGTCACTTGCATTAGACGGAGGGAAACTGAGGCTTGGAGGTACCCATGCAGTGTGGCCAACCCAAACTCAGGCCCAGGTGATCCACAGCCCAGCTCCCCCCCTCTAAGCAATACTACAAGAGGTAAAAGCTGAATAATTCCTGCCTTGATTTACCCTATAGCTTCTCAATATGTAGCCTCCTACTAATTCAACCAGAGCCTTCTCATTTTGTTTGGGCCTCTAGTTGGGACCCCTCCCCAACTAGAAAGGGTGGCAGCCTTTGTTCCTGGGTAGAGTAGTTCTACTTTTCACTGGTCCTAAAATTTCCTCTTTCAACTCCTGCAGGGGACTTCCCCATTTACTGCCAGATTTTTCTTTTTTAAGTAGAGACCAGGTGTCCCTTTGCTGCCCCAGCTGGAGCACAGTGACTATTCCCAGGCACAATTCCAGTACCGACCAGCACAGAAGTTTTGACTTGCTGTTTCTAACCTGGCACAGGTCAACCCTCTTTAGGCAACTTAGTAGTCCCTGTCTCCCTGGAGGTCACCATACTGATGCCAAACTTAGTGCAGACACCTGATTGGCAACATGATAGCCCAGAACTCCTGGGTTCAAGTGATGCTCCCACTTCAGTTTCTTCAGTGGCTGGGACAACAGGCACATGTCACCAGGCCTGGCTACCATCAGCATTTTTAGAAACTGATTTTCCTGGGCTAGTCTATGCCTCTCTTGTTCAATTTTCTGCCTCTCCAGCCTAACAAGACAGTTTGTGTATACAGTCCTCAGGAGGCCCCGCCCAAACTCATCAACCTGCAGCCTGGCATCACCCATGTCACCTCTCTCAGCCTCAGAGCTTTGTAGTGTTGTGGGGACAAGCACCTCTCCCACTTCCTAGGGTCATTGTGAAGTCTCACCCAATCATCCCTGTTCAGTTGACACAACTGCTATTATGACACAGAAGTTGAACAGATACAGTAGAGTGCATTAGGGGAGCATCTGTGGGGAGCAGGTCCTCCTCCCTCCAGCTCCTGGGGTGACCAGGAGATGCCCAGAGCTTACCTAGGACACTAAGCTGGAAGTGTTTGGTCTTCTCCCCCGCAGTGTTGGCTGCAATGCAGGAGTAGTGGCCAGCACTGGACAGGTTCACCTGAAGGACATGCAGGAGGGCCCCCTCTGGGGAGATGTGGAAGGCATCTCCTCCAGCCAGGGGCCGGCCATCTTTGAACCACATGACTTTGGGCTGTGGGTGGCCTGTATGCAGAGGAAAGAATGAGATAATTCAGCAGGCTTTGACCAGGTCGCCCAGGTGTTAGAAGCTGCTCCCAGATGAGACGGGGGACATGGATTCTTCATGGAGTCCAAAGGCCCATAAAGCACAGCAGGAAGCCAAAGCAGCAGCCAGGCCTGGCTTACCAAGCAGTGGGCAGAGGTGTCAGGGTAAAGACAGGTAATACAGAAAGGCAACCATTCAACTATCTATCCACCCATCCATCTACTCATCCACCCGCCCACACATCCATCTATCCATCCATTCATTCATCCACTCATCCATCTATCTGTCCATCCATCTACCTACCTGTCAATCCACTCATCCATCCATCCATCCTTCAGCCCACAAGCATTAACAGGAGCCTACTCTGCCAGCCCCTGGAGAAACCATGGTGACAAGGAGGCCCAGTCAGTGCAAAGACAGGGAATTTGAAGCCCAATGGGGTAGCCCATGTGGGCAAAGGAACCAGCCAAAGGACTCCTCATAGAAGGTTCTAGAAGTTGAGATCTGTAGTGGGTGGGGGTGGGGTGGGAGTGTTGGGGCAGAGGCATGTGCCGCAGATTCTGAGATAAAGAGACCTCAGTTGATGGTAGGAGTGGCCTAGTCCCCTGGGCCCTCCCCTTTCTGAAGTTGTCTTCCCACCCCGCTGCCAGCCTGCTGCACCCTGTGGCCCTTACCTGTGGCGTTGCATGTTAGGTGAGCAGTCTGACCCTCAGTGACCCTGATCACCTCCTCTAGGTCCTCATTCTCCATCCTGGGAGGAACTGGGGGAAACAGGGAGACAGACAGCCACTGACCAGGGTTGGCCCACTCAGGATACACCATCACAGAGCAGGAAGCCAAGAGCCACGGTTCCTCTTTTCCGTTTCCTGTGCCTCGGTTTCCCCAACCCTTCCATGTGCCTGCTTCCATAGGGCAGTGAGTTTGACAGACATTCCCCGCAGCTGAGGGAAATATCAGTGCCTCTGGGAGGAGGCTCTGACCAGAGGAAGGCGGTATGGGTGGTGTTGACAGTAGCTGCCCCCCTACTTCAGATTAGCTGTTTCTGGAAAGTTCCATGGCAGCCTCAAAACAGGTTTCTGATGAGGCAAAGCAAACAAGGCTTAACTTCTCCCTCCCTGTCCCTGTGCTAGGCCCCCCAGACACAGAATGACCTATGAGCCTGGGCCTCACCCCTGGAGGCTCCCAGGCAGGAGGGAATGGATTCATAGGACTCCCATGAAAATGGGGTGCAGCGTACCCAGGACCTCCACGCTGAAGTTCCTCTGCACCACCCCAGCCTTGTTGCTCGCCAGGCATGAGTAGAGGCCTCTGTCTTGCTCCTGCACCTGAGTCTTCTTTAGCATCCAGCCACCTGGGGAGGGAGAGGTGTGGGCTCAAGTAAGGCTGTGAGCAGCCTTCTGGCCCCAGCCAAGCCCAGGCTGCCCCAGGAAGAGGAGTTATAATTAGATGTGCATATGTCTGCCTCCCATCACGTTCCACTACCCAGATGGGGAAACTGAGGCTCGGGAGGGTAAACAAACGGATGGAGCCACCTGGAGGTCAGACATGCACCAGCTTAAACCTGAGGACCCTGCTCTGGAAAGAAGGATCTGGTACCAGGCCACCCCCACTCTGGGGATTGGCTGGGGCTCAAGGGACAGCAGTAAGCTACATGGTCAACAAGGCAGCCCCCACCCTACTCTGACAACATGGTAAAACACCTTCTTCTAAGGACCTCTCAAAGGGTCTCCCAGGACCAGTCTGGGGAGGGCAGATACACAGGACACATGCCATCACTGCTGATTCTGCACCAGGGGAGACATCACTAATAGATTGCTGCTGTCCTTTCTGCGGGGCCCAGATGCAGTCTGAAATCACATCACATTCACAACACATCTGGTACTTCCTACTGAGTGCTCAGAAGAAGTGCATAAAGGAAACAAATTTACCATCCTGCTGTGGGCTGCCTACAGTTGATAGGTCACCAAGGCTGAGCCTAAATGGGCCCTGATCCTTGCAAAGTTTGGATGGAACACTACCTCTTGGGCCTCAGTTTCCCACTTGTACACCAGCAAGAACCATCACAAACCAATTTTGTAAAGAGGATAAATATTCAGAGGAGGAGTTGCTTAGATCAGCATGTCCAAAACTTTGTTACTATTCTGTAGGATGTTATATATAAGAAGCACCAAGTGAATTTTTCTTTTTGGCTGTAGGACTTATCAGAACTTTCACTATGCAAATGCTCCCTGGGAGCCAAACCCCTCCCTGTGAGGAGGGGAGCAGAGCAGGAAACCCTTTTCCAACTTATCTAACATGCTCTTCTTTCCTGGTGCACTCATCTAACCAGTGTTTTGGGGGTGTACTCTTTGGAGATCAGCAGCTGGAATAGTTACCCCAAACAGGCCTGGCAGCTCAGGGTTAGAGGTCATGGGCACGTGATGGACAGAGGCAGAGGTGGAGGTCCTGATTCCCAGGATACAACCCCTACTGGGGCCTCACCTGCCATCAGGTAGGTGTCCTCTCCAGGGCTGATGGGCTCTTCCCCTCGGAACCAGCGGACAGCCGGGGGTGGGACCCCGGAGGCTTCACAGAGTAGCGTCAAGGGGCTGTACAAGGTGGCAGTGATGTTGGTCAATGGGCCCAAGTCTCCAATGAGCTGTGGGGGCACTAGACAGAGGAAAGAAGCATTCAGGAGGCTCCTTCCCCAGCCTCACTGTCTGCCCCCAGGACCCTCAACCCCGTCAGGAGAGTCTGGGGCAGAAGCAAAGAGATCAGAGCTGCTTCCACTGAAGCTGTGACGCCTAGAAGGGAGTGTATGGGGCCGCAGGCTGGGCTTCGGAGGCAGACAGACACCTTGGGCCTCAGTTTCCCCGACCCCTCAGAGCAGTGATTTTCAACTGGTGTGCCATGGCAGAGGATCTGAGGTGTGCCGTGAATGTTTTTAAAGATCATTAATTAAGTTATTTTCAAAAGAAGTTCAAAGCATGGTAAGTATACTCTTTGTTTTTACTCTGTTTTTGATCAACATAATTTAAGTGTGCCATAGAAGTTTAACTATGGGTTCAAGTGTGCCATGAGGTAAAAGTGGTTGAAAATCACTGCTTTAGAGGGATGCCTGGGAGGATTCACCAGAACCCATGCACCGCGCCCAGTCCAGAGCCTGGATGGAGTGAGTGCTAGCACACAAGGCCAAACTAGAGCAGCACTGGGCCCAGTCATGCTTCCTAGGTCCACACAGCCAAGTTCACTGGCCGCCCTGCATTTTGAAGGGGCCTGATCCTCCACAGGGGTGGGGATAACTGGGTGAGGATTGGGTCCCAGCAACACTAGGGGGATCATGGGGGCCTTCCCTACACTGATCCCTGCCCCCTCCACCTTACCTCTTACCCCTCTCTGGCTCCATGCCGATTATCTGCCAGGCATACAGTAGGAGCTCAGCAAATGATCATAATGCAGGAGGCTCCTTGAGCCATTCTCTGCCTGGCACAACCTTCCCTTGACCCAGCAGCTGCCCGACTCCTACTCAGCCTTTATGCTCCAGCTTAAAGGGCACCTCCTCCAGGAGGCTGCCCTGACCTCCCAGGACAGTGTCCAAGGTCTTCCTGGTCTCCCACCGGCCCCTGAACTCCCCCATCACACACCAGTCATGCAGGATAGAGACTGCTGGCCTGCCCAGGGCCCAAAACAGAGTAAGGAAGAAGAAGGGAGGGAGACATGGATGGGGAAAGTAGGGCCTTTGGGGACCAGTCCTGATGAGAGCAGCTTACCCCAGGGCAGCTCTCACCAGAGCCCTGACTCCAGAAGAGCCACCTGAGACTGGTGCCTGGAGACTGAACCCGCCTTGCCCTCCCCAGTGCCCCTGACTCAGGCCCCTGCCCTCCTCTAGCTGGTTGCTGTCCTCACCCAGCACGGAGAGTGCAAACCTCCTCTCCGCCCTCCCGGCCACATTCTCGGCCACACAGCTGTAGCGTCCGGCGTGGGCAGCCTGTGCTTGTTCCACATACAGGCTCTGGCCCTGGTTCTGTATCCTCAAGCCCAGCTCAACACCCACAGGCTGGCCGTCCCGCTCCCATGTCACCGTCGGAGGTGGTTTCCCCGTGGCATTGCATTCCAGAGTGGCTGTCCCATCCTGGACCACAGAGAGCTGTGTGGGGGACTCCTGGGGACCAGTGATCTGGGGGGGAACTGGGGTGGGGAGAAAGTGCATCAGGGACAGCTGCTGGGGCTGCCAGGCACTGCCACCTGCCACACACTCCACGGGGGCATGCCTGCTCCCTCCTGCCACTAGCTGGCTGTGTGATCTTGGCCAGATGACCTCATCTCCTTGTGCTTCTCTGCAATGGGGTCATAACAGAACCCCATGACACTCTCTGGACACCCCATGACACTCCCCTGGGCAGGCCTATCTGGGGAACAAGCTCACAGCACGGCCCTTTCAGGAGTTTTGAGGGAAGCCTCTAAACCAGAGGCTTCCTGGAGTTTCAACAGTCCTTGGGGCTGGTGGGGCTTGGGAATTATTCCACGGGTGGGTTCTCCCCAAGATGCTGAGCAGCGTTTTCCTTGGTTTCATTTTCTAGTGCAATTTCTCTAAGACTGAGATACTGAATTCAACATCACGGACAGTGGATGGAGATTTACGTTTCCATTATACACATGTATAGAAGTTTTGTATGACATTTACATTTCTTTTATGTTTCCAACTGTCCCAAGATGTGGCTTTCTTTCCTCCGAACCACTGTGGGGTACTCAGGAGTCACATGCCTTCTCCCCCATGATTAGGTTGAGGGCTCGGAGAAGCTGAGTGGGAGAGCAGTGAAAATGCCAGGAATCTGAGGGACCGCGTGGAAGGTGCCTGTCATCACTTCTCCTCTCTTAGCTACTCATCTGGGGGTGGTGTCTGCCCAGCCCGCAGTGCTCCCTGGCCCTCCTGGCCCGGCCTGGCTCACCCACCGTGTACTTCCAGCCGCTGCTCCTGGCTGCTGCTCCCTGCCACATTGCTGCACTCACAGGTGTACGTCCCCTCCTGGGCCGGCCGGGCCTGTCCCAGGTACAGCAGTCTCCCCACAGCCGACACTTGCTCGAGGCCAGTCCCTTCCCCGGGCAGGGGCTGACCTGGTGCAGTGAGAAAGAAGCTCCTGGTCCAAGACATTTGCAGGGACACAAGATCTTTCCACCTGCAGGATTTGTCCTCCCTGCTCTTCTTGACACTCCTACTCACCCTCCAGGTGTTCACTTAGACTTCCCTGTCTCTAGGAAGCCTTCCCTACATGCCACATCAGGTCCTGCCCTCTGAGTCCCTGAGCTTCTCCCCAGCTGCTGCAGGAGCCCCATCTGAATTTGGTCTAGCCTGGGCCCTCCACCATGGCAGGCCTTACCTTGGGGTCCTTAGGGACCCCCAGGGCCTGGCACATAGCAGGGCTCAAGGTTATTGAATGAATGGCCCCTCTGGCTACAGTGACCTAGGGAAGGACACTAGGCAGCTGGTATACCTGGCAACAAGAAGACCCCTTAAAGGGGGAAGATCTGTCAACCTCTAGCTGCTGGATGAAACACCCCAGCACCTGACTGGAGAGGAACAGACCTTGGGTTCCGTCATGAATCAGTGCCTGGCCCCACAGGGGAGGACACTCAGTAGCCACCTGGCAGTGCTTTCTCTTCCTCTGTCCTAGTGTTCCCAGCCTGTCTTGCTGCTGTCCCCAGACAGCTTCCTGGACCAGATCCCTCCTCTGAGCTCCAGTCTCTCTCACTGTTCACCTGATGTCTCACTGGGTGTGAGATATCACCATATCAAGTCTCTGCAGATGCTGGAGCCTCCCCCAACATCTCCCTGGAACTTCCCACCTTAGAAATGGTGCCCCCACTCCCCACCAACTCCCATCATCATCCCTGACCTCCCCCCCATCCAACTGGCATCCCTGCCCCAGGGCCTTTGCACCTACCATTGCCTCTGCCTGGAATGCTTTTCCCTAACATATTCCACGTCTGTCCCTTGACTTCTTCAAGCCTGCTTGGTCAAACTTCCCTGGCCACTTAGGGTAGTGCAAATCCTACCTTCAACACATCTTCTCCCCTTCCTGGCTTTATTCTCCTCCATAGAACTTATGGCCTAAGTTATGGAGTCATTTACTTTTTGTTTATTATCTGACTGCCCCATTGGGGGGCTGCTGTCCGTTTAATTCACTACAGTGTTCCCAGTGCCTAGAACTGGGCCTAGAACAGGCCCTCAATAAATATAGGTCACCTTATAATATTCTGAAATTTTTTAAAAAAGAAAGCTGCCGTGATCTTTGTGAGCAAAATTTATCTATACAGAGGGTGATACTCAAGTCACTTCTGACTTCTGCAACCACGAGAGGTGACATGACTTATATTTGTCTTTTGTTATCAGTATAGACTTGAGTATTGTAATTTTAATACAGTTTTTTCCTCTCTTAATATGTGTATATGATTTTTTGGCATCCTGTGTGTGAAGGTTAAATTCCGGGTATTTACTGAGCCCCTATTTTGTACCAGGTGTTGAACGTGGACGTCAGCAGTGGTCAAGATGGTGCTCAGACTCATGGAGGAGCAGACACAGAAGGATTAAGGTCAGCAACATGACAAGTCATCATGCAGGGGCTATGCCAAGGCGGCCCTGCCCCAGCCTGGCCGTCAGAAAGGGCTTTTTGGAAGAAGGGACATCTAAAGTGAGGCCTAAAGACCAATCCAGTTCTCGCTGGCTGGGAGGGGGCCTCAGGGACTAAGTAGAGAGGGGCTGAGGGAAGCATCAGTTTTGTTACCAGCACCCAACCTCAAGTAGTATAAGCCCACCCCTCTGGGCTCTGGCGTGGGAGCACACAGCAGGGATGGGCTGGGTAAGGGCAGCAATCCTACCATCCTTCCTCCAGGAGATCTTGGGGAAGGGGACACCCTGGCATTCGCAGGACAGCCTTGTGGGGTGCCCCTCGCTCACAGTCAGGGTGTGGGATTCGCCCGAGGGGAACACTGGAGCAACTAAAAGCAGAGAGATGGTGAGTTGGGGGTGGGGACTGGAATGGAGAAAGGACCAGGAGGCAGGGCAGGTGAGAGGGCTGTGTCCTGGGACCCCGTCAAAGCAATATCCCCCCGCAGGGTGCTGAGACCCGGCCCAGCCCAGGAGACCCTCACCCAAGACGTTCAGGTTGTAGTGTTTCTCCGAGCGGCCTGCCTCATTCAGGGCTTCACAGGTATAACGGCCAGCATCCCACACTTCCACCCTGTCCACCTGGCCCAGAGCAAAGGCATGCCATTGGCAGGGGAACACAGAGATGGGGGTCACCCTGGACAGCCAGTGTGACCTTAGGATGGCAGCCCTGCTGTCTCCCCACTTCATATCCATGGCCCAGACCGTCTAAGGGGACAGCACAGAGCTGTGTCAGACCCACTCCACGTTTGACCTTTGGCCCAGTCTCTTTGGAAAATTCAACAAAACAGCCCAAAAGAGAAGGTGGAGGAGGAAGGATGGTGGAGGTGGAAAGGACCCATCCTCAGGGTCAGATTCTGGCATGGGAGTGATGGGGCTAGGCTGTGGCTTTGAAGAACGAGGGGAAGGTAGGAAAAACCAAAGGCAGTGCTTGCAGTTGGGGACGATCATATCACAAGGTATAGAGGGTGGGAGGAGGAGTGGGTGAGGCCTCTCCCAGTGAGGCCCTGAGGACTTGGTGCTGGGCCTTGCTCCCCGTCCCTTGCGGGCTCTGGAGGTTGCATGCTCTCAGGGGTGCTAGCCCTCCCCTGTGCAGGGCTCAGGGGAGGCTGTGTGGCTGCAGGAGCCTGCACACCTGTAGTACGGCCTTGTCTGCAGAGAGCCTGACGCCAGACCGCAGCTCCAGGGGGCGCCCATCCTTCCACCAGCTCAGCACGGGAGGGGGCACAGCGTGGCTCTGGCACTCCAGGGCCACGGACTCATTGACCATGACGGACACATTCTGCTCTTCTCCAAGGATGCTCGGGGGCACTGAGAGAGGGGGAAGGAGAGGGGATCTCAGGCACATGAGGTGCCGCAGGACAGAGCCAGGACCCATGTCAGGCTCAGCCACCCCCAGGAGCCAGGAGCAAACATCAGGGCTAGGAGTCACCATCAGGACCAGGACCCACCAAGCCCCCACCCTCTCCCACCCCTCAACAGGCCCACAGTTCTGTTGCAGAAGGAGGAGGCCCCCAATCTGAGGAGAGTGGACAGATGATGACAATATCCACATTGTGTGTCCTAGAGTTCTGCAAGATGACCCCATCCGGGGAAGGGGAACTTGGGGTCTCTCTGCATTGTTTCCTACAATTGTGTGTACACTTAGAGTTATCTCAAAATATTTTATTTACCTCACTTTATTATTTATTTATTTAAATTTTAAGATAGGGTCTCACTATGTTGCCCTGGCTGGTCTCAAACTCCTGGGCTCAAGTGATCCTCCCACCTCAGTCTCCTGAGTAGGTGGGACTACAGGCTTGTGTCTGGCTTATCTCAAAATTTTAAAACAGTCCAGGTGCAGTGGCTCACGGCTATAATCCTAGCACTCTTTGAGGCCAAGGCGAACGGATTGCTTGAACTTAGGAGTTTAAAACCAGCCTGAGCAAGAGCAAGACCTTGTCTCTACAAAAACAGAAAAATTAGCCAGGCCTTCTGGTAGGCACCTGTAGTCCCAGCTATTGGGAAAGCTGAGGCCAAAGGATTGCTCAAACCTAAGAGTTTGAGGTTGTTATGAGCTATGATGCCATGGCACTCTACCCTGGGCAATAGAGTAAAACTCTATCTCCAAAAAAAAAAAAGTTAAAGCAGATCTCAGAACCACCACCTTATCCTTCCTCCCCAATTTCCTCACAAAAAAAAAAAAAAATTAACTAGCACAGTTCAGCTGAGACTCCATTCAGCCTCTGGGGACTCAGTCTCCTCATCTGCAAAATGGGCACAGTGAATCTCCCCTCCTTATGGAGCCACATGGAGCTAAATCCAAGGCACAGGTGGGTCCTTGGCATGGGACACCAGTTCACTGATCCCAACTGCAGCCCAGGAAACAGCTGGCATTGGATGCTTCCTCACCTCCCACTGGGGCTCTGCACCTCCCAGAGCTGCCGCTGGCACCTTTGCAGAGTCCCCACGATCCCACTCAAGGAAGTATAACAATAAGTACTGCAATACCCAGTGAGCTCTGCCATACCCATGATGACCTCCGAGGTGGGTACCATCCTTCCCATCACTTTACAGATAAAGAAATGGAGGCTCAGAGAAGCAAAGTGGCTAGAGCACATCAGAGAGGTGAGGTCTGAACCCTGTGTTCCTGACACTCTAGATGGGTGTTCCTAACCACCACCCCACACTGCCCCAGTGGACACAGACCACTGAGGACATGGGGCCTCCTGCTGCTGCTTTATGCTCTTGGTACCTCTTCTATGAACACAGGGCTCCTGGCTGTGCAGCCACCTGGGTACCTGCTTACCCATGGTAGCTCTCTGGGGGTCCAGCACCCTGCACTCAAAGGCAGCCAGTCTTAGTGGGTACTACTCCACCCAGCCACCCTCTCTTCTTTGGATGTGCCTGGAGACACCCCCACTACATCTTCTTGGAGCTGCTGGGCTGCACCACGTGGCCTTCCCAGCCTGAGACTCACTGTGGACTTGCAGGATGACTTCCCGGTGGTCCTCGCCCACCGCGCTCACAGCCACGCAAGAGTACCTGCCAGAGTCGGAGGCCCGGGCGCTGGCCAAGGTGAGCATCCGGCCCCCAGGGAAGACCTGTGGCCCAGAGGGACGCTCACATTGGGCAGATGTCCTGCTGTTGCACACCCCAAGGGACAGCACGCCTCTCACAGCTGGCCCTGCTGCCAGGTACACCTGGGAAGCCTTCCCCACACCCCAGAACCCCCCTCGGAGCATCAGAGAGACCAGGAGCTACACCCAGGCCTTGGAACTCCACTGGCTGGCAGGCCATTCTGTCCACATGTGGCCAGTGAGCTCCTGAAATGCAGCCAGTCTAAATTGAGAAGGGCCCCGGGTATAAATACACAACAGAATTCAAAGCTAGTTTGAAAAGAAGAATTTAAAATGTCTCACTGATAATTTTTATTTTATTATTTATTATTTTTATTTATTATTTATTTACTTTTTTGCAGTTTTTGGCCGGAGCCAGATTTGAACCTGCCACCTCCAGCATATGGGGCTGGCGCCCTACTCCTTTGAGGCACAGGTGCCATCGATAATTTTTATTTTTATCTCACAATGAAATAAAATTGTTCTGGATATATTGGACTAACTAATATGTAATATCAAAATTGATCTTAGGGTGGCACCTGTGGCTCAGTGGGTAGGGCGCTGGCCCCATATACCAAGGGTGGCGGGTTCAAACTCAGCCCCAGCCAAACTGCAACAAAAAATAGCTAGGCGTTGTGGCAGGTGCCTGTGGTCCCAGCTACTCAGGAGGCTGAGGCAAGAGAATCGCCTAAGCCCAAGAGCTGGAGGTTGCTGTAAGCTGTGATGCCACAGCACTCTACTGAGGGTGACAAAGTGAGACTCTGTCTCTTAAAAAAAAAAAATTGATCTTACCAGTTTCTTTTTGTTCACTTGAACATGGCTATGGGAATGGTTTAAGTTGAAGGTGGCTTGTGTTCCTGGGGGGCACTGTGTTTCTGTTGGCTGGTTGGGCTCTAGGCGGCTCCCTCCAGGCCCTCCTGCCTCCCGCCAGCCCCTGGCCCTATATTCCCAGGGCCTGACCTCTGCTCCCAGCACCTACTGAAAGTACCAAGAAAGTGAGCCACATTCACCTAGCCCTACTGACCTGGAGGCCTGGGGTCCCTGCCGAGGACACAGGGTTTCCATCCTTCAGCCACAACAGTGTGGGGCTGGGGGCGCCAGTAGCATTGCAGGTCAGCCGGACAGGGGTATTGAGCAGCACCGGGCCTGGCAGGCTGGGTGGCAATGTGATTCGGGGGGGTACTACAGGGCAGGGGCGACAAGGGGCACAGGTTGAGTCCCACTGCGGGCAGAGAAGGCAGGCCCTGGCTGGGCCCCCTCGACAGGGCACATGGCCACAGGTAGAAGCAGGATGGCCACCTGGCCACAGACAGCCACTTCACCATCCTCCAGGCTGCTCTCCCCTCCTCTCAACATTGCTATGAGGCTATTGCAGATGGGAAACCAAGGCTCAGAAAGGGAAAGTCACCTGCCTACAAATGACCAACTGGAAAGTAGCAGAAGGAGCACCTGAACTCAGCCTCTGGTCAGCAAGGGGCTGTCTGTCATGGGGATGGTGTGAGGACAAGGGCCCCTGGATAGTCTCCCTTCCTAACTCAGAGGCATCAGAGGAAACACTATCTTTTTTTTTTTTTTTTTTTTTTTTTTGC